TGGTATTTTTTTCCCCTGTTTTTCTTCTTTATTAATTTTTTTATTTGAAACTCATAACAACTTAATTATGGTGTATCAAGGTATATATAAAGGATTTAGATATCCGTATTTGGTTGGGAAAATGCATGTTAGAACTGACACGTGAATTTTCGCGAACGTCATCGTCATCATTCTGTACTAATATGAAAAAAAATATGTGTGATGATAATAATTTTTTTAAGTATTTTAATTGATAAATCGTAATTACTTGCGTCCTGTAAATTAAATATTTCAATAATAAAAATAATAAGCGGATTTTAAATTTCTTTATAAGGACAATTTAACATTAAATTAAACAGTTTGCATAATTATTCAATTTCTTTACTCGTTCCACCTACATAATTAAATGTCACTTATAAATTAATACAATCAGATTATTTAATTTAAAAATATACCTAAGTAATATGCGTGATAAATAAATACTTCTTCGAATAATATATAACTACTAGGTTATATATTATTATTTTTTTTTTTGGAACAATTGATCCTAAACTTTGACTACATTATACCCCTATTGAATATTATTTCATTTTCATATATGTGTGTCTTTTAATGTGAGACAAAACGGGATACAAGTAGGTTGCGAAATTGGACAATCAATGTAGCTCGTTTATATTTTTTCTATCTAAAATTCTTGTAAGGAGAAACATGCTTGTCCGAAAATTAATTTACTTGTTCATAATAATAAGCTTACGAAATAGACACTATTATTTTGAAGATGCCAAGCTTTACTCGGTTCATTTTTATAGGAGAATCTATTCTATTGGGGTTTGTAACCGTTAGATCAATTATATCTGAGAGTTACATGATGATCTAACAGTTACAAACTCCAACGGAATGAATCTGTAATGAGACCGTAGCATTTCTCAATAAAATGAACTATATTGATTTTGATCCTCATTTCTTGTATCATTTGTCCTAATTTTTATTATTATCAAGCACCCAGAACCTTCGCCACCCACCGACTCCAAAGCGTAGAACTGAAGAGGCTCCAACCCCCAGCCAAAAGACACAAGGGTCGAGAAACTCCCTCTATGGCTAACTCAACCCAGACCGAAGAAACTGAGGCCTCCATTGAACTCCCAGCACCGAAGACTCCAAGAAACTAGAACCAAAATGTCTCCTCTTTCACACTAATCAGCTGCCATGGCCCAAAGGCCGAAGACTACAGTCACTGATAGACAAGAAGCTCCGACCTCGGCCGACAGCCGCACACGGCTGCAAGCCCAAACAACACGCCCCCCAAGAAACAGCGACCAACAACCACCCGCCGCCATGGCATCTGCACAAGGGATGGGACCACTCGACAACCCTAATCGCTAGCTCGCCGGAGGAGCAACCCAAAATTGGAGTCATCGGGGAGACGAGAACTGAAGACAACCTCTCCAGTCAGAACCCTGCCCCTGAGCAAAACTAACCACTCCCTTCACCAAGAGCCGGTGACGGCTAGTTAGCCCATCCACTAAGCAAAGACTGACCGAATAATGCCCTCGAACCCCACCGTCTTCACCTCACCACAAAACCGACAACAGCCGCACAAGCACAAAGCCAAAGAGAACTTCTGTCGGCGGCCTCATCCCGTCTCAGCCCCAAGAGACGGAGGAGGAGAGGAGGCAAAGGACGGCGAACCCGAGCACGCAACGGTGCCCCTCACCCCGTAAATAATAAGCCAACATTGCAACCAACGAGCTTACCCAAGGAGGGAAAGCTAAATCAACTGAAGGGGCGGAACGGGCTAGGGGGTGAGGGCTGCACTGGGAGGGTCGCCTCCACGAAGGCGTCGGAGCTGCAACTGAGAGGAGGCTACGCGGAATCGAATGAGAGACGAAATGCTACTGTAGATGATTATGGATTTGGGGATTTTTGGGATCTGCTTATTTTGTGAACTTCTTGGTTTTTTATTAAGCTATCAAATGTAAACTTATATCATAATTTGTATAGGTATGGGAGAAAATAGAGTACGCAAGGTTGTTCAAACACTGAAATTAAAAGCGGAAGCAAATAAATATAAAAACCTCTTTGGAGAACCTCCAACTACCTCTCATAGCTCATTTATTAATAGATAGATGGCACGCACAAAATACAATTCGAACTTATAGGACTCGAACTCCCTCCTTGTTTAGCCCACATTATACCCAACTCTATTAATTACTTCATTGGCCACAACACGTGGTCTTCAAAATAGCTTTGGATCCCTACTAGCTACATAAGTATTTAATCTATAAGTAGTCAAAGTGTTTGTAAAAGAAATAATGAGCTCAGTTCTTTTGTAGTGTAATAACAATAAATCACTAAACTAAATAAAAAGAAAAACAGGATGGACAGAAGCACTAAAGAAAATATGAGAATATTGAACTTGATAAATGCAACAATATTCCATTGAGTTTTTGTGTAGACTTATATACAATCTCCTCACGGTAATGATTCTTCCACACTTTCTCATTCCTTTTGGACTCGGTTCCCTTCATTATGATTTTATCATGACTTGGACGAGCTATTTCTAACTTGAAGCAGAGATCTTCATATATACACGATCTTCTTATTCCGGTGTCTTCTTTTTCCTTAAAAGTACAATCTCCCTATAAATAATTTAAGGCAAAATTGCATTTTATGCCCTGTAATTAGGGGTCTGTGGCAAATGTGGACAATTTCTTTTTGGTTTGACAAAAGTGCCCTGAAACTTGTTAAAACCCGAAATTCGTGCCCAATTTGGACATAAATTTTGAATTTTAACAAGTTACTGTCCTGTTTTGCCACACGAAAAACTGGTCAATTCCGGTTACTTGTAGGTAAATTGGGCACGAATTCCAGGTTTTTACAAGTTTTGGGGCACTTTTGCCAAATCAAAAAGAAGTTGTCCACATTTGCCACACACGCATAGTTACAAGGCACAAAATGCAATTTTGCCATAATTTAAACAAAGATTATATAAACAAAAGCAATATAAGACAAAGTCTATTAGATACTGATATATATACTTACCATACTTAACAATATAATATCCAGACTTATGTAAATAATAGAAAGAGATAGAGAATAAATCTTTCATTTAAATTTCTTTTGCTTGTAAGAAAATCATCAAAATATTATTTTAGAACCATTGCCAAAAATAAATCTTACAATATTCTCTTTTGACATTCAGTTTAAAATCATATCTTGAAAATGTCCTACAACACAATTTCAAGAAAAACAACAAACAAGCAAATATCTAGGTTCGAAAACAAGGGTTTGATCACATCGTGCAAAGAAAGAACATCAAACAAAGAACATATGTAAAAAAATATCACAATTTTGTGTAAGAAAAGACTTATGAATATCCAACATACCCTGCAAAAGTATCAATAAAAAATAAAGTTGACCCGCACCAGATGATCAATTTTTCACAAATCGCACAGAACATACTTAAAACCAACATAAAGTAAAATCAAACTACCATCAAATTGTTTACGAGGTTCTTACAAAAAGACCTCACTACAATCCTCGAGGCACTCAAAAGCAAATAAACTAAAAAAGAATGCAACAACAAGTCAGTCTGTATCTCCTTCCATAGACCATCCCCATCTTCCGTCTTCTCCCCTTTTTGTCGAACTCTTGGATGCCGAAAGGCATGTCCCAAAAGACGAGCACCGTCAACCTTTAATCATCTTAAGCACCAACTTCAAATAGTTATGTTGCGTACCAACCTTCTTTTCAAGCTTGACCACAACACCAAGCTTCTAAGTAACAAAGTCATCTCAGCGAGAAGAACATCAACACACTCAATAGGGAGTTTGTCCTTAGGAACAAGGTCTTTCTTGTTGGTACGAACATATGACTTTATTAACTTCTCATTGAGCTCAACATTCATCACTCGGGTCTTTTCTAGTTCATCCTTTAGTAGGTGATTTCTTTTACGTGGTCCTCGAATCAATGTTCGAATACCTTTAGTTTTTCAACCCGAGCCTGATTTATCTTTATGACCTTAACGATTTTAATGCACTTCTTGATGGCATACTTGTGCATGGACAGATCTTCCTCCATAAGATTAGAGAAATATTCGGGATCAAAATTCTTTGCAGCATGATGTAAGAACCCGTATCGGAATCAACAACGTCCGTGAGGTGGATAGAAGAGGTGTAGTCCGTGAAATTATTGAGAGGATATCTAGAATTTTTTTTGGAGTACTCAGACCTTATCCTTGTTCTGTGCCCTCGTCATCATCATCACACGTGACTTTGTAATTCTTTTTCTTTCTTTTGAAGTTTGGACAATCAACTTGAAAATGTCCAAACCCTTTGCACTCACAACATTGATCCTTCTCAACACTTTGATTTTTACGTTGATTATTTAAAGACAACATGTTGGAATGTGATTCTCCAGAATTCTAATTGATGTTCTTGCTAGAGTCAAAGCTTTTTCCCTTGAAACTTATTCTTCTGATTCTTTAGCTGGGAGAAGTTG